AAATATTGTTCCGTTTAGATTGGTCACACAGTTCTCTCAATATTCTTTCATTCCTAGAGATCCTTTTTTTCTCTTTGTGCCTCAAGCTTCTTTGTATTCCTCTTCCATTTATCATCTCCTCCACCATATCTAATCTGCTTTTAAAACCCTCCATTATATTCCATAGTGATTGGATCTCTCTGTCTCCTGATTTCATCCCTGAGTTCTTGAATATTTTTTATACCTCCATGAGCATGTTTATGATTTTTATTTTGAAATCTCTTTTGGAGAGATTGGTGTGTTCAGTGTCACTTGCCCTTTTTCTGTTGTTGTGGGATTTTAGTTTGAACCAGGTCCCTTTGACATTTCATATTTTTATATCTTGCCCTATAGTGCCCAGAAGCTCTACTCTATTGCTGCTTAGCCCCTGGAGTGATATTGGTGGTCTTAGGGGAGCAGTACTGTTGCCTGGGGGGAGGAAAGAGCTGTTTCCTGCTGCTCAGCTGCTAAATCTGTCTCCACTGCGAGAGCCAGTGGGCTGACCACACAAGTGTAAACCTCTATGCTTTGCATGTGTAGTTGCCATAGTCAGGGCTTCTCTCTGGCTGGCCTGACGCCAGGGCAGGGGCTGCAGGTTTGGGAGCCAGGTGCAGAATGTCCAGTAGGAATGTGCTACAGGCTGCGTATCCGGGCGGGAGGCCTTGGAGCTGCGTAGCCAGCCAGTGGGATGGAACGCCTAAAGCTCCTGAAAGTTCCCAGCCTGCTGGGCAGAGTGAACCCGCACAATTTGGCCTACCTGTCCTTTCTCCTGAGCTGCAAGCTCTGTACAATCCTTGCCCCTTTAGCAGCCCTTTCACTGTTAGGAAGTCTCTCAGACTGCCTACCTTTCTTTTGTCCCAGAGCATCTGAATATGGATCCCTGTTTTCCACAAATGCCTGGAATCTCAGTCTCTCCAGGTATTCCACCTATTTTAGCTTTCCACCCCCACTAATCTCCAGAGCACCATGCAGTGTGGTTCGTGCTCCCAGAGCACATCTCTAGGGCTAGTTGTTCAGCAGTCCCAGGCCTCTTCTCCCTTTCCGCTCATTTTTTCTTCTGCCGGTGAGTTGGGGTGGGGGAAGGGCTCGGGTCCTGCCAGATCACAGCTTTGGTATGTTACCGTGTACCATCAGGTCTGTTCTTTTCTCCAGGTGTATGCAGTCTGGTGCCGCCTTCTTTCCTGTTCCTCTTCAAGGATTAGTTGTATTAATTATATTTTCATAGTATATGTGGTTTTGGGAAGAGGCCTTTGTCTCACCTCTCACGCTGCCATCTGTAATCTCCCCTACTATACTTCTTTTTATCATAACAATCTGTTGTATGTATATACCATAATTTGTTTATAAGTCATCATTTGATAGACATTTGGGTTGTTTCCACTCATTTTTATTTACTACACTGCTGTGAACATTCATGAACAACTTTTTGTTGGAATGCTTGTTTAAGTTCTCTTGGTTAAATTCTTAGGAGTTCAGTTGCTAGGCTATATGATAACTCTGCTTATCTTTTTGATAAACTGCCAAATTATTTTCCAGTTTAAGTTGCTACCAGCAATATATGAGGGTTTTATTTTCTCCACTCCTCACCAACAATGATTATCATGTACCTTTACACATCATTGTAGTGTGAAGTGGTAACTCTTTGTTTTAATTAGCATTTCCCATATGGGTGATGATGTTGGGCATCTTTTTGTGTGCTTCTTGTCTATTAGTATATATTGTTTCATAAATATCTTTTCAAATCCTGTGCCCATTCATTAATTGGATTATTCACCTTTATTGAGTTGTATGTGTTCTTTATATATTCCAGATACAAGTCCCTTTTGAGTATGATTTACAAATGTTTGCTGTTGTTTTTTCATAGATGATGTGTATCAGATTGTTGAAATTCCTTTCTATTCCTAGTTTGCTGAGAGCTCTTATCAGGAATGGATGTTTAATCTTGTCAAATGCTTTTTCTACATCGACTGTGATGATAGCATTTTTTTTCGCATGTATTGAATTACATTGGTTGGTTTTTAGATGTTAACTCAAAACTGGATTCCTAGTATAAACCCTACTTGATCATGATAGATTTTGTTTTTATTGTTGTTATGTTGTTGGATTCAATTTGTTAAAATTTTGTTCAGACTTTTTGCAGTTGTGTTCATGGGAATATTGGTCTTTATTTATTTTTTGCTTTTTTTATTTTTAATATCTTTGCCTGGCTTTGGTGTCAAGTTAACAAAGACCTCATGGAACATGTTAGGAAGAATTCCCTGCTCTTTATTTATTGATGATTTTGTGTGGAATTTATATTTAGTTTATAAAATTTAGTCAAATCCATTAGTGAACCCATCTGGGCCAGTAGTTTACTCTGTGGAAAGATTTTTAACTGCAATTTCGGTGTCTTTATATAGGACTATTCTGTTTTTTTTTTATTTCTTGCTTGAGCTTTGGTATAATACAGCTTTCACAAAATTTTTCCATTTCATCTAATTGTTCAAACTTACTGTTATAAATTTGTGTTTGTGTCCCCTTATTAATCATTTTAGTATTTGTAGAATCTCCTGTGAGGTCACTTTTCTTCTTAATATTGGTAATTTGTGATTTTGTCTTTTTCCTGATTATCCTAGCTAGAGGTTTATAAATTCTTAAATTCTGCTTATCATAAGTTTTATTTCATTGTGCTTATCACTAGTTTGATTTCATTGATTCTTTATTGTTTTCCTCTCATCTTTATTATTTTCATCTTTCTACTTGCTATTGGTTTAATTTGCTCTTGTTTTTCTAGTTTCTAAGGTACGTGCTATGGTCATTTATTTGAAACCTTTTATTCTTTTCTAACATATACTTCAGATGTTATTTCCATAATTAAAATATTAGGAGGCCAACAAGTCTTAACAGTGAAAATGGAGATAAAAAGATAGATTCTGAGAACTCTTGATAAATGGGAAATTATCAGTAGTATTTGGTGAATGAGTTATGGGAATAAGGAAGAAAGCCTATTGTAATTCCCAGGTTTATGTTGAGAGACATTGACTATTGTATTACTGACTGAGGTGTAGAATACAGAAGAACAAGTCTATTTAGTGAGGAAGTCATTCTGTTGTGGACATACTGATTTTGATATGTCTGTTGGACATCCTTTTGGCTGCATCTGGAGTTCAATAAAGAGATCTTGATAGAAGGAAGCATTTAAACATCATCAAGATGGAGGAATATTAGTTGTTGCTATTTGGGAATAGGGGCTCAATCTTGCTAAGGCTTCAAACACTGGATTTAAAAAATGCAGTGTTCCTAGATTTGTAAACCACTGTGCTAAAACACAGTTGTGAAGTAGATGGGGCCTATAGATGTTCTGTTTGTCACTGACTCTATTCATTACTAGCCTATTTTTTTGAGGTGAATGGGCATCCCAGCTGAAGCAGGGACTGCAATGTTTATTCAAAAATATGTGCTGAATTTATTTGATGTGTACATGGATGAAAACCTTCAGTTAACTCTTGCAGTTTTGATAAGGCTTTGAGAATACCAAGGAGGAGGATGTGTATAAGAGAGAAGGAGGTGAAGGCAAAATCCTTAGAAACATTAAAGATGTAAGAAGAGGATCTGCTAAGGCTAATGAAACCTAATGCAAAGTTGTCTCTAAATCTCTTCCTCATAGAATTGTGAAAATCAAATGACACTTGTGATGTGCTTAGAAGAGGAGGTAGTTGTTACTTATTGAATTTTAGACTAATTGGAACTATGAAGCAACACAACACCACTACCAGCTGGATGGAAGTCACCTTAAGACAAGAAAAGTACCATGGCCTTTAGATCTGGCTTGAAATATAGTGTGGTCTCTACTCCAGCATAGGAGTTTAGAGAACATCCAGCACAACTGTCTCACTTTAAAATATTTGCTTATTATTTGGATCTTACCATCCTCAGATCAAAAGAGAGTCTGCAAAATATAATACCACATCATAAAAGTCTATTGAATCATTCATTTTAAAATTAGAATTTGCACACTAAAATAGCATCTTACACCTGTTAGAATGGCTATAATCAAAAAGACAAGAAATAACAAGGGTTGGTGAGGATGTGGAGAAAAGGGGACCTTCATGTACTGCTGGTCAGAATGTAAATTGGTGCAGCAACTATGAAAAAGGTGTGGGAGTTCCTCAAAAAATTAAAAATAGAATTACCATATGATGTAGCAATTCCACTTCTGGATATTTATCCAAAGAAAACAAAAACACTAATTTGAAAGGATGTATACACCCCTGTGTTCATTGCAACATCACTTACAATAGCCTAGATATGGAAACAACCTATGTGTCCATTGATGGATGAATGGATAAAGAAGATATGGTGAATTTACAATGGAATACTATTCAGCTGTTTCATCTTGCCATTTGTGACAACATGGATGGACCTTGAGGTTATTATGCTAAGTGAAATAAGCCAGGTGGAGAAAGACAAATCCAGTATGATTTCACTTACATGTGGAATTTAAAAAACAAAAGAAATGAACAAAATGAAACCAATCCAAAATTATAGATACAGGGAGCACAGGGATGGATGCCAGAGGGTAGGGGTGTTGGGGAGTGGGTAAAAATGAGTGGAGGATTAAGAGGTACAGACTTATAGTTATAAATGAGTCATGGAGATGTATTGTACAGCATAGTGACTGTAGTCATTAATACTGCAGAGCATACTTGAAAGTTGCCAAAAATAAACCTTAAAAGTTAACTTTATATGGTGACAGATAGTAACTAGAATTTTGCAATGTATGCAAATGTCAAATTATTATGTTGTGCACCTGAAACCAATGTTATATGTCAGTTACACCTCAGTAAAATGTGTTTTTTTAATGGAATTTAATTTAATTAGAATTGTATACTTTTTACTTCAAGTTTTACAGAAAACATGTTGTAAAAATCTTATTCTGACTTATTTAGGCTTTATTGACCTAGTAGAAAACATATTCAGATGTTACTTATTTTGCTTTTCAGGAAAAACTCTGTTTGCCTCATCATATTTTGGAAGAGAGAGGTCTTGTGAAAGTTGGTGTCACAGTTCAGGCTCTTCTTGAATTACCTACAACCAAGGCATCTCAGCTTTCCACAGCTTGATAGAACATATGAAAATCCTAAGTGTGTAGTTTCATTTATTTGAAGTGATTTCAGATATCTCAAATTAATGAATAAGAATGTCTAATCAAAAAATATTTTTATTAGTTCAAACCTTCAGTTTAAAAAAAATTAGGTTAAACTATCAAAATTAAATTTTGAGTTACCCAAACTTCTCTTGGGGAAAACTCGATTAACCTAACAAGAGTTTCTGATAAATTCAAATTCTTATTTTACCAATCAGTTGATAGCCTTGATTATTTTTCAGAAATCAGATTGATACTAAATTTAAAGTGGGGTTTCAATTTAATAATCACATTAGGTTTATTTTTTTTTATATCATAGCATACTAGTAAACACCTGGATAAGGTAATCATTTTTTACCAGTTTAAGACAATTCTATGTTTGAGTTATTTAATATACTTTTAATTCTAGTTTATATACAACTTCTTCAATCTTTGGTCTTAGTTTTCTAGAAAAATATGAGTAGCAAATAAAGAACTCTGACTTTATATTAAATTCCTTTAGTAGTATAGGTTGGTGCCAAAATATTTTCAGTTGTACTTTAGATTGTTTACATGTGAAGTGCCTGTGTAATTGATCACTCTTATATAGTCTTAAGCATTTTTGCAATTTCTTTTTATGTAATAATGAAATAAATGGAACTTTAAAATATTTTGGTAGATTTTGTAAGGTCAGTAATATGTGAGGATTTAAATATGCCTCACATTGTGACATTTGTGGTTTTTTATTTAGTCCATTGCAGTTTTCCTTAAATTGGTTATTTCATGTTATCAAAAAGAAATTAATATGCTTAATTTATGCTATTTAATTTTGCAAAACTTAATCATCTTTTAAGGTGTATTATTTGAAGAGTATTTTATTTCTGTATTGAAAAATGATACACAAAGCAGTAAGGTTTTTGAGAACTAGTAAATTTGGCTTTATGTCATTCTTGACTTTCAAGGACATTACATTAGAGTTGCTGCTTTCAGTTGCATTCATGTTCAGGGAGCAGCAATGGAGGAACAGATTTTTATTCGAAATCTGGCTGTTTGTGGATCCTGTAAAGATTATGCTCCTCAGTTAACATGATGTTGAATCAAACACAGACCATTCTATAAATATTTTCATAAGTACACTGTGTTACATAAAGTCCTTGTTTAATTTAGAGATGAATAAATTTACATTGGTAGTAGTGGAAATTTTTCAAAAACATTACTGTAATGAATAACTTTGTTTCCTATTGAAGAATCTTAGTATAATTACTTTTGTAGTAGCTAAGCAAGTGTTATATCTTAAATATGTGATTATTTGCACTTGTTACCTCTTAATATGGATGCAACTTATTAAAAATGTTAGCCTGGGTATTTCAAAGGGTATATATAAAAGGTAAAAACTAGTGTGCCAAATGGTATAATAAGGGTTGGTTTAGTAACAACTCTACTTTTTTTCATCAGTTGGCATGAAGCCATATAATTACATTTTGGTTTTAGAATAGAGATGTGTTCTTCATAGTCCTCAAAGGTCAAATTGGAGCTTAAACAATTAAAGCCTCTTATGATGACATGGTTTACAAATTAAATTATTAGTAATTTATTACTTTAAATATTTGAGCTAATTAGTTACTGTTTTTCAGTTGGATCTAAAAAAACTCTCATTGACATAATCTCCCTAGTGAAAACTTGGGTAATAAAGGTAAGGAATAGCAAATAAATATCTTAAGTTACTAGTTTTTATGTAGAAGTTTCACAATGTTAAAAATAAGTGACCATTAAAAACTATAGCCATCATTCATACTGCTTTCATAGTTATCATGCTATAGGATTCTTCTTATTAATGAATCTAGATGTTAATTATTTTACAAGTATTTTCCTGTTTCATGTCATTGAAATATTAGTGAAAATATAGGTCATTTAGTTACTGCATTTTTCACTTTCTTGACACTTAATTATTATTTTGAAGAGAACATACACCAGAATCTCACTCTAACATTGTTTACTGCAAAGCAAAATTAACCATTTAAGTTGGGTCCATCTGAGGTCCATACAATGGCAGTTTACTATAGTGCCAAAAGACAGTACCACCTCTAAGGCAGTTTCATACGTAGTCCCCAAGGACACATTATATCAAGAGTCTGATGTATTTCTTTTAGTAGTTTTAAAAGTGTAAATTTGATTCTCAATGGTTTTTATGTATCTGCTTCATCAGTTATTGAGTTAGGAATGATTACAGCTGCTTGAATTGGGTTTGTGCTTTGAAGAGGGTTAAATAATTAAACTAAAACATTTCATTAGGCCCTTAAAAATGCAGTAGGAAGTTATTTCTGCTAAATTTTATTGTTGTATGGCACAAGAGAGAAGTGATGTTGGATATGTTAGAATTCAAACAAGTGAAAATGCATTACCATTTGTTTAATAATTATCTTTACAGAATGCTAGTTTGTTGACTTTTCTAACTGAATTTTTTGAATTCAGAAATCTTTGTATTGGTCACAGGTCTATTATGATTGATTTTCTGATGCATTTAAAAATAAATGGAACACTAAATGTATATTACCGATGCAAACTGTGGATAAAGTTGAACGAAAAATTTAAAGTGTGTGATTTATTTTCTCTCTCTCTACCTCTTCTGTCAACATCCCAGTATCCATTTTTTGTAGGTATTTTGATTGCTTGTGTTTGTTTTTTACTGTGGAAAAGTAGACTTCAAGAAGATACTCAAAGGTAATGTTTTCTTTAAAAAACAGTAATTTCCTAGGATATCTTAACAAAATAAAGCCACCTTCACATAAGGTAAACTCTGTATAACATAAATGTCAGGTGAACCTTTACATAAAATAACATTTAGGATAGGTCAAATTGTGATTATTGTAGATTTTGTGTGCAGTATATGATTGAATTACCTTAAGCTGTTAGATTAAAAAATTTAATCTTTCATTTTCAAGTAATCCTAATTTTTTTAAAAGTCTACATATTACATTAAAATGGTGTTATTTATTTGTTATTCTTATTTATCCTAAAAGTAGAAAGTTGTTCAGTAAATGCTATTAAAAATTTACCTGTTTTACAGTTACTCACCTTTAAGTCTCAGATTTAAAGAAGTACTTAAGTAAATATTTGGCATAAGTCGTTTGAAAACTATTCTGTGTTTTTCACAGAATTTGAACTGTCTTTAGATAATGGTATTAAACTTGTTATTTGTTTTAATAAATTTTGATATTCTACATGCAATGGTCCTAAGATTCTCAAGAACCTATTCCAGCATCCAGAATGCTCCAATGACTGGGTTCCCTTTGATAACATTACTATATATTAGATTAACTTGGAAATGTCTAGATATCTTTTGTTCTTTAAGGTATATTAATGTTTTCTATTCCTGTATTTTAAAACATGAAGAAAAAAAACAACCTATGCTTATGGTGTTTAAATAGCTTACATTTTCTGCAGAGGTGTGTGTGTGTGTGTAAGTGTATGTATGCACGTAATGCAAGGTTTCAGCAGTTTTAGCAAAGAAAGTCTTACTGCATTGGCAAACCAGAGTTTAGAAGTTTGAGAATTTTGACGTCAGTAGTTTAGGTTGGGAAGTTTATGATTTGAATCATTTGAAAGTTACCAAAATTTGTAAAAGGAGAAGATTCTTTAAAATGTGATCTTTAAAAAGTTTGAATTATTGCATACTATATTCTTGGCCTCAAATACCTAATTTAGGATTAAGCAATTTTAGATTTTAAAAAAAATTTATTTTTACTCTAATCCATTGATGTGCATCAAGTATCCACCTGAACAGGTGAGAAATTTATTACGTCTATACATATGTAAATACATAAATTGAAATAGATTTTTCAGATATCAGATCAAATTTTCTGAAACTTTGTTCAGATATCTCAGCCACTTCTAATGCAAAGAAATACAAAACTATTTTATAATTTATAAAGCAGTGATTAAAATTATACCTTAGAGCAGTGATTCTTAAACTTGATGTGCATGTGTATCACCTGAAGGTCTTACCAAATACCAATTGGTTCAGTAATTCAGGGATGAAGTTTGAGGTTGTGCTCCCAAGTGATGCTGATCCTGCTTGTCCAGTGACCAACTTAGTAATAAGGCTTTACGGTTGTTCATGCTTCATATTAATAACAGTTTGCTGTACAGTAGTTTGATATGTTAAGGGATGCTTCTGGGTCTTTAAAATAGTACTTAACATTTTTTAAAGGTTTCTAATTCTGGACTGTGTTCTACATTATTAAGAACTTTTGGATTTTCTTTTATGATTTGAAATGATTCTTTATGCTCTGATCCAATATTTCATATTTTTATTTTCTTTTAAAAATTATTTTAAACTCAAATGGCCATATAATTTTAAGGATAAGATGTGATTATAAAATGGTCATTTATATCCAGAGAAGTTAGTATAATGTTAAAGTAGCAAATATTAATGCATAACACCTCCCTTTTTGTAGTGCTTAGAAAACTACATTAATTTTTTATGGTGTCAATGTCAGTTTATTTTCTACTTGCCAGGCAGCAACTCTTTCCTTAGTTTTCAGTTCAGAGCACACTTATTCTTTCAGGCTACCCCAATAAATGTAAAATTGAGGCCATATACAAATATATATTTAATTGTAAGTATTTATGATTTTTGATCAGAGCTCAAACTTTCAACTAGAGCTTATCTCATCTCCCAATAAATGAGTAAAAATATTTATCTATTTCATTCCTATTTATAAAGTTAATTGTATAGATTTAAAACATTTGGAATCATGTTACTTATTTTAATGCCTTCCTAAGCATGTGGCTAAATTGTTAGTTAAAAAACAAATTAAAATCCAGGTTGGCCTGAAATACTAGAAAGTCAGCCAAATGTCTGCCATGGCAACATAACTCATTTACTTGGTGAAAGTATGGGAAGAAAATTAAGTATATAAAAGGGAAGGCAGAATCATGTGAAACATTGAAACTAGTTGCTTTTATATAATTGAATTATAAACAATGAAATTTATATATTTTCCCTCGTTTCTCACTCATAATCTTCAAAATCTGAGATTAACTTGATAATAGTAGAAATTACTATTGTGCTTAACCCAGATTTTAAAATGGCATTTAATTGTATGTAATTGTGCTTATTAATGAAAAAAAAAATATATATATATATATAATACACATTTAAAAATATTGGTATAATTTGTTACATTGTACCATCAATATTTTCAGTTTTTCTATATGTAAGATAAGGGAAGAAAGAGTTCATAATATGCTCCTAGGTAATTGTAAAAATATTATGGATTTAAAATTTGCGTATTGCCACTCTCATTGTTCAGACTAGGAAGCTGAGGCCCAGAATTATAGTTTGAACAAAATGAAATTCTTTGTAACCACCTCTGGATTATTTACCTACTGTGCTAAGACTTATTATGCATATAAGATTTTTGTTTGATTCCTAGTCCTTTGGAAAATCATTATAAATTGGTTAATTTAAAACACTTGTTTAAGCACTTACTACATACCAGGGATTAGTTTTGCCGGTTAGTGGCATGAGGATAATTAAGACATGGTATTTTTGTTCAGAGTTGTGCAAAGTAAATCTGTTGCTGGTTTCCGGCTTTTGCGTTAAAATAGATACTTAATCTACATTTATTATATTAAATTTTGCTATTGAAATTTATCATTCTTCATAGTCATATTTTGTACGTAATTTTTAACTTACCTCTCAGTACCATATTTGTCATGGAGTATTCATTTGATGGGTTGGTCCCAGAAATATTTATTTTTGAAAAATAATCTTATTTATTTTTAATGATTGTATATTATATTTGCATGGAAAAAATGAATGTATCTGTTCCACAGATTTATAAAATAGTCTCTATATAAAACAATGTATTTCATAAAATTTTATATTTTCCTGAAACAACTTATTTCTAAAACAATTACTTTTGAAATCTTCCTCAGTGTGAAGTTTTAGAATATTTCATGGTATTTTAAATGAAATGCTTTTATGTCCATGTCTTGTTCTATTGTAGATATAACATTAATACAACTCTGAAGCTCTGGTAGTTTTAGCCTATGGAAATGTTAATCAAAAATAATTTTTTAAAAAATTATTAAAAAAAATAAATTATAGCTGTAATTAAACTACCAGAAGAATTTCACTACTTTCTGGACTTGTTTCTAGGTGCTTCTCATATTATTTCAAAACCTTAGTGATAAGATTATGTCAGTAGGGATCTGATTCTTTGACTTTTTATTCATTTGACCTGTCAGTTATTTCCAAATTGTTTTCATTTTCTTTCTCCTACATCTTTTCATAATTGAAGGTGTCTCTTTAAAGTTGCTTCTGTAATTGCAGCCTAGTTAATCTTACAGGAATGAAGAAGGGAATACCACAGATGATGATGTTTTGCCTTGTGGCCTAGACCCAAGTATTTTTAGCTGGACTTGATCAAATTAAGTTTTGTTGATAAAGGTATAAAGTGATGCTGCTAAATAATAAGACCTATTATTTATTGAATTCTTACTATGTGCATATATTGTATTGTGTCTTTCCAAGTATTATCTAATGTAATTCTCAGAATAACCCTATGAAATGACCTGTAATTATCCTACTTTTACAGATGAGGAAAATTAGGCCGGAGATTAAGTAATCTGCCCAAGTTTACCCATGCTGTAGGTAGAAATGTAGGACTTTAAGTCTTTCCAACATCAGAGAAGGTTTTTTCTACCACATCACCTGTTGGAAATAAAGTTCTGTGTTCTTCCTAATGAACTGTTTTATATCCTTCACTTGTTTATTTTGTGAACTATATTTGCTCTGTGGCATATGTATATATCTATTTTCTGTGTATAACTACACAGGATACTAACCCATATATATATTTGTATTTTTTAATTATTTTTCTTGTATTGAGAAATTAGACACCATCAAATGTCTCAACACTTGAATTGTAAATCATTCAGGAAATACTGAGTATCTATTATATGCCAAGCATTGTATACTGGGTGCTGGGTATGCACTGGTGAATAAGACCTCAATAGGCTCACAATCATTGTCCTATTCCATATATAGTGCCTTTTTAAATTATTCTGCTTTCTAAGCCTTCTATGACTATTAAAAATGTAAATATACTTCACAGAATTTATCACTTACTATTTGATTTATACCACACCTTCTCTTAAAACTGGCTTGCAATGAAAATAGTGAAAACTGTCATACATCCAGTTGGTAAAGAACAAGAGCCAAGTAATGAATGGGATGGGGTAACAATTATTGCAGAAAATCTAGATGCAAATCAGTTACTGCAGTTTTATTCTAGATGCAAATCAGTTACTGCAGTTTTGTCCAAAACTTTACTCTGAGCCTTCTGCCAGATAAGGATTATATTAAACATCAAGAGAGTTGTTTCCCTAGGTTTTGAAGATCATTTAATACTACATTCACTGAGCCTGAAGTTCACAATAATCTGTTAGGTATTGTTCACAGATCATAGGCTTTGTAGGACAGACCCTTTAATTCCCATTTCCTTTACTAGCTGTGGAACTTTGTATGTGCTCACTTTACCTGTCTGTATGGCTGCTACATAGCATTGAGTAGATGAAATGGGA